TTCAATAAACAATCCTGAAAAATATTTGGGGGTGCTTAACTTTTTTCCAGGTGTATATTTATAAATTATTTTTACAAAAACAAAATCTACCAACGGGTATAAATTCATTTGTTAGTGTTTCTACTATAGAGGCCAACCAGACCTCTGATGTTTGTGAACAGCCAGGGGAGGGGTCACTTTCAGTCGAAGTTGTCCATGATATGATTCATTGCAACATGTAGACATATGCAGACCGAGGGTGTCTCTCTGGAGGGTTCTGAGGCAGCTTTTGCAAATGACCCAGGACCAGCTAGGGAAAAATTTAGACCTGCTTTTTCCAGCTCCTTCTTCTACTAGGTTGGCCTCAACAGAGGATCACTCTGATCAGCCACATCCAGCCCCTTTTATTCATTTGGTTACTCAGGTTGGAGAGGTTTTGGAGTCTCTCCTATTGCATTTGACTCTACTACTTCTTTGTTGGCACAAAGGATGGCAGTTGTTTACTTGGTTTTTCCTCCTTCTTCTGACATTGCTGATCATGCTCGCTTTACAATAGAATCTTTTCTCAACCTAAGATAGCACTTTATGCTAGGGTTCTGGATGACCAAGTTCAATGTTACCGATGCTTATCTGAATCTTCCCTGAGATTTCTCTAATTTTGTGCACAAGGGTCAGGTGCTGCAGTTCTGGGCTCTACCTTTTGGTTTTGCATCAACATCTTATGTCTTCTGCAGAATTGTTTGAGTCTTTTCTCATCACCTGCATTCCTTGGACCTGTGCACACATCATTATATGAATGACTGGCTCCTTCTGGCACTATCCCATCAATTCACTCTCAGATTCTCTTTTCAGAAGCCACAAAAGTGGGCTTCTTTATCAGACTGGAGAAATCTATTCTGTTACCAATTCAATATCTCGTCCTTCTGGGTGTGTTTTTCAATACTCACTTCAGTCACACTCAACCAACCCCTATCGAGTTTCAAGCCATGGAAAGAGCCATCAGGATTTTAGTTATTTCTCATTGTCCTGCTGTGGTGATGGTTCTTTCTTTTTTGGAGATGTGAGCATCCCTTGAGCATCTCTTTCTTTTGGGACAACTTCATATTAGTCCCTTCAGTGGTCACTGTTCAACCAATGACTCATGCATTCTGATCCTTTGGATCATCCTGTCTCATGACTCAGGAGCAATATTGTCGATTGTGAATGGTGATTGGATCAGAACAACACCACTGTTGGGGTACCCATTCCACCACCTTGTTCCAAGATCCTTCTGTTCCCAATTGCATCTCTTCAGGGATGAGGAGATTATCTTCTAGGTCAGGAGTTCCAGGGTATTTGGGCGGAAGACAAGTCTACCCTCCATATCAACATTCTCAAACTCCTTGCTGTACACTAGGCAATGGTTCAAGGTCTGTTTCTCTTGAAAGTAAAAATTGTCATAATACATTCTGTCAATTCCACAATGGTATCTCAGGTTTCTCGTCGAGGAGGCACTCATTCTCAAGACCTTTGTTTTCCTGCCTTGGATCTTCTGTACTGGGCTCATTCCCTTCATATCAGTCTTGTAGCTTGTCATGTCCCAGGAGTGATTAATTTACTTGCAGTTCACTTGTCTTGACCCAACCGAATTCTTCTGACGGAATTGATGCTACATCACGAGGTTTTTTGGTGGACTTGCTCTCAGATCGGGTCTCCAATGGTCGATGCCTTTGCAAGTCATTGGAATTCTCAACTGCAATTGCTTTGGTCTCAGATACCTCATCCTCAAGCATTGGCAATAGATGCATTCAGTCAGGACTGGACAGGTTTACATCTGTATGCCTTTCCTCAAATTCAGCTATTGCCCTGTGGTTCTGACCATGGTTCATTCCACTCCATATTAAGTTCTCTTGGTTGCACTATATTGGCCAGCTCAAACTTGGTTTCCACTTCTTTGGTTTGTGCAGGAATGTCTACCTATACCTCTTCCACATTGGCAGTCTCTGTTGAGACAACCCCAATCAGACATTCTCAACCCAGATGTTTGCTTCGTCTATGGTGGCTTTATATAAGGTATCCTTATCCACTATTTTTAGGTATTTCAAATATCAGAATTACCGAATTGGGATTTTGCAGTTGTTTTCCATGCATTTTCTCATCCTCCCTTTGAACCCTTAGCTTCCTATTCTTTGTTTCACCTTTCTCTTAAATTGTAATTTTTGTTGTTGTTGGCTTGTGGACATCGTCAGTTGGAGTTGTTTGTAGTCCATGTTCATTGGACATTCCACATTTGCCCTGCTTTACCCAGACAGACTCTAGCAATCAGGGAAGAGAAAAGATCCTTCTCACCAATCCACTGGCCAACCATTTCTAACCTTTATGACTGCTCCGATACTTATCATTTGTTATGTCCTGTCAAGGCCATCAAGTGTTACTTGACTCGTACTAACTCATTTTGAGGGACTAGGAATTGAGTATTCATTCTTTGGGATCCTTCTATTTCCTATAACTTATCTCCTATTACCCTAACGAGGTGGCTTTGCAAATTGATTCACATGACCTATAATGGATTATTGTTACAGGAGAGGAATCTTTTGCATCTTGCATATCACCAGATTCGTCATTTCTTTGTCATTAGCTGCCTGGTTGAAGTTCCCTCTGGAAGACATTGTGTGGGATAGTATGTGGACTACTCCTAATATTTTCCTGTCTCATTATTTACAT